CCCCCCCCCCCTCCCCGTCCACCCTGTCCCGGTTTCGTCCCCCCTCTGCCGTCGCTTCTCGCGATCCACCGCCTGCGGAGTCGTGCTGGCGTGTGGAGCGCGTCGGAGGGTTGATTAAAACTAACGTTGCGCCAAGAATTACCCTGTGAGATTGAAAATTAAATTAATATACAAAACCCCCGCCCACCCGGGGCTAATTAGTTATATGATAGTAATTAAAAGTTAAGTATATCTTCGTGCGCGGACGTTCTAGCGTATCTCCCGTCGCTCCCGGCTGTCATCCCCAAAACGGCCGTGAGCCATTCTTTAGCCCCGAGTACTTACGACAAAAAAAAAAAAAGGGAAAAAAACGGTGTCACTTCTTCTAACAAGTCTTTCAAATATTTTTGTGAAAGTCGTACTCTCTTCTGTTGTATTTAATTATAGGTATTAAATTAATTTTCACATATTTGGCGACATTCAGAAAATTTGGCTTTCAAATTAACTTTTACAGTACCGCGGATGAAAAATAGACGTGCGAGATACGTGTACGTATATCGACCCTCTTTCTACATACTTTAATTTGCAATTTACAAAAAGTACATAAAAACTGTACGTTCTAATTGCGTTTATTACTGTTAGAACGATGCAATTACTGCTTTACCAAAGGCTGCGTATAAATTGGCATACAAACAAGCGAATATATATTTATTATTGTCGGATATCAAAAAATAAATGGACACGCGCAGCTGGCGTGGCATTAATTCCCATTTGTTGCGCGCTATCTTTAGACGAGAGCGATCAGTATCATCGAGTACCTACTAGCGAAAGACAAATTACCTGGCCGTTGCGCGCGATCTCACGGAGCAGCAGCAGCAACCTTGATACGATAGCGCGCGCGTAAACGCCGCCCTAGTTCTCTGCCAAACTGAAAATAGTCGGCGAACTAATATCGCGACGTTGGAAATATTTTATACCTACATACGTTGCGCGCGGCGGCGGCGGCGGCGCACTCATATTCGAGCAACTTTCCTTACGAGTTATAACGCGCGCTTTATATCCGCCTTCGAAAATAATTTCGCTAACCGTGATTCCTTGGGGGAGCGCGGCAGCGTATCGCATGGGGGGGGGGGGGGGGGGAGGGAGGAAAAAAAAGGTCTCTCTCGGAAAGTCGCGAGCCGATGCGTGCCGTGGCCGCCGCCGCCGCCACCACCACATCGAATTTTAGCGTTATTTCTCTGGCGAGAAAATTTAGTCCCGGTCCGCTTAACAATTTTCGCGGTCTGGTAATGGACCTGCAGAGAAATTCCTGATATCATCTAAATCCAGGTTAATCCGCAGAATTACAGAATTACAGAGAATTATAGACTAATACTCCTCATTTCTGATTACGCCAGCCATGAGGTTTTAATTGGTTCGATCGGTCGTATGCGCGTATCTGTCATGAGATAGCATCATATGAGAGAGATGTACAGTACCGTCCAGAAATGTTGCAAACTACACGGCCTATGCCATAAAGGGAGAATCTTCTACCGTTGGTATATTTACAAATTTGTGAACGATAACATACGTGACCGACGCAAACAAGTCTTATCGTAAATGGAGAGCCCGCGTGATTTTCAGAGAAATCGAACGAAGAAAAACCTCGCCAAGTTGGATAAATCTAACGATAATGTGCGAGTAAATAATCGCATGGTGGAAAGACACGTTCTGTCCCGTCAATTTGCAGTTAATCTCGCATAACTAATAGAAAGCGCGTGCCAAAGAAACGATAATCCGCCAATCTCTCGTATTCCCATTAACGCGATCTAAAAGCGTCACGTTTCGAGATATCTCTCGCAAAGATCACAAGCGAATCAAACCACCCGACTTACAATTAGATCTAGAAATTGTAGATACAGTAGATTTAGTTAGGAACCGCATTCACAGTCGACTGCTTTTCTTAAATGAATCTAGAAATGGGGAGAAACTTGCGCGCGAGTTCGTTGTACCGAAAATCGAAGTGGCTGTTTCGTTGATTAGAATTTAAACTCACAAACTTATCGTTACGTTGGTAATCAGTGGCGCGCAATTTATGCATTTCCCACCGGGAACGCGTAAGTGTCTACCTCGAAGAATATTCGGCTTCGACTCGAAAGTTGAAAACCGCTTGGCGGCAGGCCAGGGCTCACGTAACTACATGTTTTGCCAAAGCTACGCGACGCCTGCCGGCCTTCGCCTTCCGCCACAACGGCGGCGTAGCTAGTCGATTTTCGAAAAAGGTTAACACCTAGTCGCCCGGATCCGACCGCGACGACCACGTGGCAGCGGACGCGCCTGCGTGTCCCGTTCTCTCTCTCTCTCTCTCTCTCTCTCTCTCTCTCTCTCTCTCTCTCGTAACCTTACTCGGAAATTTCTTCTCAGTCTTCTCGTAGCCATCGGTTGACACGATACTTTCGTCACAAAAAACGGACAGAGAGGGAGAGAGAGAGAGAGAGAGAGAGAGAGAGAGAAGCGGAATGTGGACGAAACACCCGAGTGTTGACCTTGTCGAACGAAACATCCGAGAAAAATCGGAAAATTAAAAGATTTCCAAAAGATCCTGTGTAAACTTGACAGTATACATTCAAATTGATAGAGATTTAAGATTCCAAGAATCGTGTACCGGCGTTCAAAGACCACAAAGGTCTGCGAAGGAATTAATGGATCCTAAGGAGGAAAATGTGTTTAAAGATCCGAGGAGTTGAAGTACGAAACCGTAAGCTCGCAGCAGTTGTCACGAATTAGAACTGCGACAAACGCGTGCCACGAACTGTGCTGGACATTAAACCCCCTGAGGGTTAACGCCGCTCCTGTGAGTACAAACGCGGGAACTTTGGACGAAGAACGAGAAATATTTTGATTGCTGCTGTGTAAACGAGGACTTCACACGTGGACAGTAACCCTTCCTGACGACAAAGACAAACTATGTATAGGGACGTTTTCCCATTTGCAGGTAAATGTCTCGAAAAAAAAAAAAAAAAGAAAAAAGAATCGTATGTAGATATTGGATCTATAGACACGTATGTACCATATATACGAGGGAATAAAGAAGAATCTTCAATCAAAAAAATAATCTCGCGTTTCCAATGAACCTTTTGGAAAACTGAAACTTATATTTGCAGCGAATAGTTTAATTTTTAAACACATATTTGCCACGAAATATGAAATGTTTAACTACGGCGTGTGTAAATAAATGAGATTCGGATCGAATCGCATAAGAGCGATTTTTAATTTATATATATTGTACGTACAAATTTAATAAAATGTGAATTTATATTCGCGCAGAAGCGAATAATTTTTTAATTTATATTATCTGCAAAGCTTTTAATATTTAATTAATAAACGCATGAATAAGTAAAATCTGAATTCATGTGACCGGCCCATTAATTTTTCATTTATATATTTTCCAGTAAATAGAGATGGGTGCTTACATTTGCAATGGATATTTTAATTTTTAAATACGTTAGAAATTTATGAATATCAGTTAATTTTATATGTAATGTATGCAATTTTTAATATGTATGCAAATAAATAAAACCTAGAGAAGGATATGTAGAAAACGAGCTTTCAATTCTTTTTCTATGTTTAAACGAATACAATATTCATTTCTACAGATACGTATATATATATATTCAATATTTATAACTGATGAATTGACCAATGCAAATACTGTGTGGATCGAGAGATCAATCTCGATCCTAAATGAAATTTTAGAAATCCTATCGTTTAAAGTTTCACGCCGATCGGTTTCTTCTTCGTAACGCATCGACAGATCGCCTGCAAGAATCGGAACATCGAGTCGGAGTGAGAGTTACGTGCTTATCGGCTACGTCAATCTTCTCTACGAAGTGATAAAAAGCTAAGTTATCACGAGCATATACACACTCACCACGATCGCCGGCATGCGTAGGCTGTTGAGCTTGATCGAACTAGATCCTCGGTTAGATCGCGAACCAGCACTCTTTCTCACTTTCAGACGACGACGACGACGACGACGACAATTCCACGTCGCGAGATCGGCGATTTCCTCTCTCTCTCTCTCTTTCTTGCCGCTCTGCTCACACACGGCACACACTCTGTGAGGCAGTCCTCACGGCGCGCCGCGCAGCGACGCAGCGACGCGCGACGGCATCGCGAGCAGGTGTCCACGGACCGAGAGTCCTCGTGCCTCGCGCTCTCGCGAGGATCCTTCGTCCTGTCCTCCTCCTCGGGCTATCGATCTCGGGAACGCACGCACGTCGCGCTGCTCGTCGACCACCGCGAGCGCGCCCGCCAATGCTCCAGGCGTCCGCTTCTCCTCGGTCTCGGACGTTCGCGTTCTACTTTGACTCGCTGCGGTTCACTTTCGATCAATGGCACGCCGTGAATTCGTACGTTTTTCTCGTGCGGCGTCGATCCATGCGGCAAGATCATGCGCGCGTCTTTAGTCCGTGTTTAATCGCGATGACGATTACATTATACATAGATAAAAATCTTTTCCGTGTTGCTCTTCGATCGTGGGTACTATCACGCGCGACGATCGCGACCGATGTCAAAGATCTTGTTCGCCCGCAGGATCGCGAAACATCAATCGAGGCGAATCAATCGACACGCAGCATGATTCTCGCTGATCTATCACGTTGATACATTTCCGATTAGCAGCGCACACGGAGCTACTGATTTCTTTCAAAGTCGGCATCGACTGAAGTGATCCTCGGAACTTGTCCTCGATCGCAAACACATTTCCGGAGCACTCGCGGAACTCACTCCGTGAGATTGAAAACGCTGTCGGATCACCCTGCGAGAACGAACGGAGAGGTTAATACTTTCGACCGCGCTCCGAACAACAAACGAGCGTGTGTGTGTGTGTGTGCGTGCGTTACGCGCGCCGCGGAGAACGGCGAGAGAGAGTCTCGGCGTAGCTCGGCGTGACTCTCGACGCGCGACACATTCCGCGAACTATGTACATACACACACTATTTAGGACCGACCGACCGACCGCGCGCGTCGTCGTTTTAATCTCGCGAGAACCCTCGGCTCCGTCTCGCCCGCGCGCGCGCGCGCACGCGGCCACTCGAGAGTCAAGGTGAACCGGAACACGCAGCGAGCGCGAGAGCACACCGCGCGACACGCAGAAAGCGGAGCAGCGACAGACCGATTCGCGCTGCACGAAGTCGGACGAACGAGTGGCGGCTGGAGGAGCCGCCGCGTCGTCGGCTTCCCCCCACTACGCGGCACGCATCAAAGTAGCGGGGAGAGCAGGGGGTGAGCGCGAGAGAGCGCGAGCGAGTGGCGCGCACGCTGACGACGAGGACCGGGCACGGGAGGGATGGCGCGCGGTCTTCGGAACCGCAGCGGCGGAGGGAGCGGTGGATAGATGGACGTCAGGGGCGTGAGTGAATGGGGGGGGGGAAGGAGGGGGGAGGGGGTGCCCCTCTGCGCCGCGGCGCGCGCTCCACGCGACTTTGCGCGAGTGAAACATTTCGCGGGTTTTGTGGACCGACGAGAGGGGTAGGCGGGGGCGAGGAGGGCGAGAGGAGCCGTGGGGGAGGGGGCGCGAGGGGCCGCGAGCGCGCGTGGGAGAGAGAGAGTGAGTAGAAGAGGACGAGAGGGAGAGAGAGGAGCGAGTGGAAGAGAGGATTGGGTGGGAAGACAACAGTATTCCCGTTAATTGAACGACTCGCGCGGGGCGGAGGAGCTCGTCGCGGGGAAGCAGAGGGGAGGATTACTTGCAGTAATTACTTATTTTTATTACGCTCCGCCTCGTCGTGTCTCGCGCCAGCGAACGGCCGCGCTCTCGCAGAGACATGTTAGAAATCTTTTCTCGAGTCCGCGATATTGCGAGACGATGGGCCACGTACCGGAAACCCGCCTCGGGTCTCCCCTAACTAAGCGTCTTAACGTTAAATTAAGGTGAGAGAGAGAGAGAGAGAGAAAAAAAGTGAGAGAGACTACAATGTCGCATTGTTCGTAATTTCATTCAAGCTTATGTAGCGAGGTATAATTTTTGGAATATAGTTTGCTCACAAATATACATACATATACATATATAAGTAATACGATCTATGATACGTCAAATCGATTATTTCCAATCATTTTATGACATTCTGATCACGCGAGAAATCGATTGTTCAATATTGGCTTTATTTGAACACATGTCAATTTGATCTTTATTTTCTTCAAGTCGAGCACCGCGCGCGACTTGAACACGGTGCACGCTATGGCGTTCCCTAATCGGGCCAACCGGATACTCGAGGCTCACCGACGGGTGAACGAACAGGTAAGGAACTGGATAAAACCGTTTCGGATCGACGGTAAGTCGGTATGCGATCGGCGTCAGTTTTTCGAGCAATTACGTAGAAATACGTCGAGTCATTATATTCGTTTCTTTTTTTTTTTTTCTACCAGTGTGTTAAACCAGGTAGACTTATATAAAGCCAATTTACATACGCGATATGCATTTTCAGCATTAACTCCATTTCCTTGTCCAAATCAGTTCCCCATTTAATGATCGCTTTAGCCTTGAATGCACTAAAAGTACAATAAACATTAGAGCACAGTGACACTAACAACGTTATCGTGTTATCTTCGTGTATGTATTATACGTGTATACGGAGCGATACGAATAATACTTGTATCTATTGCGAGTTGATATGTTAATTCGCCGAACATGTAACATTGGATCGAGTGTATATAGCAGCAATTATTTCCAACGTAAATTCAACATTATACATTTATACGTACGTAAAACAGAGATTTGTGCATTCTAGGATTAAATTCCAGAAGTGGAAATGGATAAATAGCCCTCCCGAGTTTCACTCGAACGGTTCGCTCGGCGGGTTCTCCGCAATGTTCACGGTTGCCGGACCAGAGTGCACTTGTCAAAACTTTTATCTTAGCCCGCATCTACCAGCGAGAGAGAAAAACACGGAACGGAGGTGAGGACAATGGCTGGTCCTGCACGGCGGATGGTCCTGCCGAAGGAAGGCGAAGAAAAAGGAAAAGGAGAAGAAAAAAAAAAAGAAAAATCAGCCGACAGAGGTCTCGAATAATTGCGGCGGATAGTTCGGAAAGGCGCCGACTGGCCCTCCTTGGCACGCCTGTCAGAAGATATTAGGATTTCTATCGCGGATCCTGCCGTCCGCAGGACTCGTTAACGGAGATCTTAGGATTGTTCCTTTCGTAATCCAATAAGGATGAGATTCTATGCGCGACTGTTTTTTTTTCTTTATTTTTATTTCTGCTAGCCCGTTTGAAGAAACCGCGCCGCGCCGATCGCGACTATAACGACAATAGATAGCTGCTTGAAGTATGTTGACGCGATTCGACGACCCCGCGGGGTCAATTATGACAATTAAATTACTCACAGATATAGATTACGCTTACATCTTGACGCTTACGTCAAAATAACGTGCTTAAGCAAATCTGTACGGGGATCGTCAGATATATCTCGTATTCTGAAACAAGGCAACTCGAGATATCATATCGCGCGGCTCGTGATGCCCGCAGGTATATGTCTTGCGGTCACGTAGTGGTGACCTTAGCTCGTTTCTGCTCTATAGGGTGGTCGGCCCTTTGGACAGGTCAGTTCGGGATTCGGAAGCTGTATTGGGGCGGGGCGGACGTCAGATGGAAAGCAGTTCTAATTTGATACCAAGTCGGGAGGCCAAACAAACAGCTACGTCCCCCCCCTTTCCACCCCCGGGCCCCCCCC